ACAAACCCTGTTGATGCAGATGAGGTAAACTGCTCTGGGTCTGTAATACTGTACTGTCTGGGTGTAGTTTTAACTGCCCGGTGTTGGTGTGCTCTAGCGAAAGGCTTATCTTTAGCACTGCACTAAAAGGATTTCTTTTTGAGGAGCAAAAAGTGTTTTGTATTTTATTTTGCTGACCCCCTGAGGCTCTTCAATGTCCTTTTTTTGAGTAGTCACTGAAAGCCCTGGTTTCCTCCTAGAAAGTCAGAGCAGCTACCACCACAGTTTGCCTGGGGAAAGACTTTGATATGTAGGTATACTATAACTCTGAAATAAACAGTCAGATTTCTTTGGGGCTGTTGGAATAAAGCCTAAAGCTCTCGCTACGTGTTTGTTGGCTGTCAGTGGTTCCTCTGGGAACAGGAGAAGAGCAGATGTTTGCAAAAAAAATTCAAGATTCCGCCTGCCATTTTGTCTCTGGCTCCCCAGTACAGGATCAGCCATAAATTACATGTGGTTTCATCTTCCCCTAAAACTTCCAAGTCCCTCTTTTTCTCATTTAATTTACTGACTGTGCTCCCATCTTAACAGACTTATACTTCAGAGTTAGTTGCAATTTTAATAGAGCTGTGTATCAGTGAGACCAACTTCTTTGCTGTCCGTTCTTCATTGCAAGGCTGCAGCTCTACACAGGATGTGCCATCTCACTACGAGGTGATGCCACAGCAGCCCTCTGTTTCTGGATGTAATAAACAAGATAACAAGTATAACGAAAGAATAGAGATGCCAGTGATGCTTGGAGCCTGCCCTATACCACTGCCTAATGGCAAGTTGCTTTTTCTTTTTAGATTTTTTTTTTCTTTTTTCTCCCCCACCAACAGGCTTTCTGGGTGATATTGCTAATGCCATTGGTATCCTTCTTGTGACAAGGTTTCTGCCGGTGGAAACTTTGCCAAGGATTTCACCCGTATGTTTTGTGCAATATTCTGTAAATAGAAAGAAAGGTGGGGTTTTTTTTTGTTTTCCCTTGTTTCCTTCCTTTTGTTTCCTTTCCTTTTTTTTTTTGTTTTCCTTTTCCTTTGTGGAAGGCATAAGGACAAAGAGTGTTTTAAACAGGTTATCTGAATCATAAAACTTTACTGAGAATTTTCTTTATCCTTCAGTTACTTTCTTGAAATGGTCTCTTTTTAACTCTTCCCAACATTCACTCAGCTTTTGATCTTTACTGGTTTTATAAGAGATTTGAAGAAGAGCTTTTCTGCAAAGGCTTTTCTGCTATTCATCTGTATTAGTTCATGTAATGAGACAGTAAGCAACTTTACCCAGCAGGCAGACAATAGGACTACAAAGCAAGGCTAAAGTAGGAATTTTCTGGGCTTAAAAGCTTAAAATTGAAAGTCTTGAATAAATTTAAAAATCTAACAGCAAATGGACCACTAACTTGCAACCCTTCCATTAGACCTACATGTGTAGCGAGATTTGACAGTACTTTCAGTTCTTTGATTGTTTCACTTGACTTACGAGGAAGATGAGAAGAGCAAATTTTAAAGGAGGAGCTGCTTTGCTTATATTTCGGGTTGTTTTTTTCTAATATCTTATTGCAGTTCCGTCCAAAAGAAAACACAAAAGGAACAGTTGCACTTCCAGTGATGAAACAAAGAGGAGAAAGATTTTACAGTGGAGTAAAGTGAATAGAAGTGGAGAAGACCAAGAGGAAGTAGAGAGTGATGGAGAAGAGTTCCTGGAAAATGGTGTTTCTAGCATGCACGAGACTGAAGGTGAGTCCATACGAGGTTCTTGTGTGGAAGAAAGCCACAATAGTCTTCCACGACGACAGACAAATGTCTATGAAAATAAACACGAGACTGAAAACAAGAGATGTTTCTCTGCGACTAAATCTGGCTCTGCAAAGAGAGCCCAGTTTTCCCACTATTCAGGGCCAAGAAAGAGAAATGAGACTTTGGATTCCCAAAATAAAGAAAGTTTCCAAGAGGGTGATTCAAAAGGTAAGTAAAGGTCCAGCAGACCAGTTAGCTCCATTTTGTTGTTGAGGGGTTTACATTAGCCTCCTTTAATTTCGTTCTATTATTTCTTTACAAATCACTGCACTGTGTTGCTTCCATTAAGATTCTGTCCCTCTGATTATGCTACCAAACTAATTTTTCTTAAGCTGCTGCTCTTCTGATTCTGAAATCAGTTTTGTAATTCTATCTCCTCGCAAACCAACAATCATTTGCTTTCTTTTATGGCACGTGCATCTTTCTGATAAGGAGCAGCTTGGGATAAGGAGCTGTAACTCAGCCTGTGTAGATTTAGTCACGATGTGGCAGAGATGACTTACACCCTAGTCATGGGAGATGGGTTTTCTTAATATTCAACTTCCTTAAGCAGGCACTGCTGTAATGGTAATGTTTGACTATTGCTTTTTTCTCCTCTCAACCCTGGGCTTTTCACTCCTACTGCTTTTTGATCTTGGTTCCTATTTCTTATGGAGGAGAAAGTAGAAGGCAAGTATTTCTCAGTGAACAAATAACAGAGAGCCGTAGAGAAAGATCGGATGCCACTTGTGGGATAGCTGATGGATAGCCATGTTCCGGAGAAAGAGAAATCATGACTTAAGAAAATGTTTTCATCCCAGAAACTTACACACATCATGAGAGTCTGGCCAGACATCATGAGAGTGCGGTGGGAATTCCTGAGGAGCCGGATC